GGGGGGCCTTCGCTCTCTCCTGCCCAGAACGAGCACGCCTTCGACGAGGTCATCCAGAGCGCCAACTTCACCTCCCACGAATTCCGGATCCGAGTCAAGCTGGAGACGTTCAATGTAAGAGAACTGGGGGGGTGGGGTGGGGTCACCGTCCTGGGTGGGGCTGGGCTGGAGGGGCCTCTGCCTCCTTGTGCAGCTGTGACTTGCTTGGGAAAACAGCCCCCCTGCGGCTTAAAGCGCCAGGGGCGCCTGTGGCATTCCGGGCGGTGGGGAGGGGGTTCCCCAGACGGGTCTGGATCCCTCCAGGGCTCCCCTGCTCCAGGCCAGGGCTTTGGGGCATCCCTGGGGACTGCAGTGGGGTGAGCTGTGGGGCTTCTGGGTTTCTGGGCTCAAGGGGGGGGTCTGTCCAGAGCAGAGACCGGACCAGAACCTCTTGTGCTGTGGGCAGTGGAGACACCTGTGGGCTGCAGGCCATCAGGGTCCCGGGACAGGTGGGGCGGCTGAGCGGCTGGCTTTGCGTGTCCGTGTCGGGGGGGGGGGGTTGCTATGATGGGGCCCAGGCTGCTGGACCTTCCTGCTTCTCAGCACGAGGGTCCGTGCTCTTGAATGCCCGGGACTCCAAAGCCCATGGGGTAGCAGTGACTGCTGAGTTGCCTCTTCTCTCTGCCAGGACGAGTCGCGCCTGAAGGCCACGGCCGTGGAGGTGAAGCCCATCAACCACAAGGAATACTGCCAGAGGCTGATCCTGAACATCCGCAGGAATGCCGCCCGGCTCGGCTGAGCCCCACGGAGCAGAGCTGGAGGTCGGGTCCCCTCCCCTCCCCTGTTGCTCTGCGGACTTCCTGGCCAGGCCCCCCTGGGATGGGGCAACCCAGGCGGCCTTCAGTTCTTCACCTCCGTTAATGCCACTTTTTTGGGCTGCCCACTGCAGTCTCTTCCCTCCTTTTTTCCCCCCTTTGGTATTTTTATGCAGAGAAAATTTCTGTATTTTTCCTGACTGAAACAAATTGGGACGTGAGCTGCAGGTGCCCCCTTTCCTTTCTTAATAAAGAGTGTTTAATTTTGGGCGTTTTCCGAGTTCTTTTTATGCCAACGCCAGTAGTTTCTCATTACTGGAAAGCAATTCATTAGTTTCCATAATGGATTCTCACTTGGGGGGCGGCTCAGCCCAGGCTGGCGGGGGGCGAGATGGGGCTGCGTTTCCCTGGTGCTCTAGGTGGGGGAGGGGGCTTCTCTGGACGGCCCTTGCCCTGCCCGGTGTGCCCGCTGGCTCCTGGGCTCGGCTCGCCTGGCAAAGAGTCCCTCTGACCCTGGTAAAAAAAGGGGTGGCCAGAAACGGGGGGGGGGGGCTGCCGGGGGGGCCCCCCGGGGGGGGGGAGCTGCCTCAGGGGGGGGGGGGGGGAGGCAGCCTGGGGCCCTGTGGTGGTTTTTTTCTCTCTCTCACGTAGGCACAGGCGCCAATTGGCCTGAAAGCATCCGCAGCCATTTTCTTCCCGCTGGGATCCGCATTGGGGGCCTCGCAGAATCCCCAGCCCTCTTCGGACACCGGGAGCCCCCCCCCCCCCTGGGGGGGGCCCCTTTCCCCCCGGGGGGGGGGCGCTTCCATGGCCAGCACGGAGGCCCTGGGGTGGGGGCGGAGGGGTCAGGGCCCTCTGCCCTCCCCGAAGGCCCCAGGTCCCCATCCCCGGAGCTAAAGCCGCCCTGCAGCTCCCGGTCCCCCGTTTCGGACTCTGGATAATACATTATCGATCCGTGCATTTAAGACACTAATGAAACAGGCAGATATCGACAATGTAATTAATACACTCCAGGAAAGGAGCGTGCAGGAGGAACCGTATTGACCGGCAGGTGCCTGGCTCGCTGCCCAAACCGGCTGCCTCCTTTGCAAGCGGGGGGGGGGGGTGCTGCCCTGCTCCCAGGGCCTTTCGGGGAGCGCCGGGGGGCTCCTTGGGGCCCCGGGCTCAGCCCCCTTTCTTGGCTGGGGCGGCGGGGGCAGCCAGCCGGAGAAGGGGGCCGGCCGAGGGGGGGCAACGACAGGAACCCTCCTGCTGCCCCGAAGGGGGAGGCCGGGCGGAGGGTGGCCGCTTCCCCGCCGCTGCTCGGGCGGCTCCCGCGAGGGGAGCGGCGTTCCTCCGCGGAGAGGCCTCGCTTTGCCCGGGCTGCCCCGAGCCAGAGTGCCCTGGGCGGGGCGGGCGAGCTGCCATGGCGACGGCGGAAACTTCCGCAGCGACCGAGGCCCCCGAGGCTCGGCCCCGACTCCGCCCGGGGAGAAGGAGCGGCGGGGACACGCGGGCTGCCAATTGCAGGCCGGACGCCGCTTCCACGGCCACTCGGGCCCCCCGCAGGCCCCGGCCTCCTCCCCCCCCAGCCGCAGCAGCCCCGGAGCCCGTCCGGCCTTGTTCCAGGAGCGGGGCTGGAGCGCAGGGAGGCGCCGCGGGGACCGCACGAGGCCGTCGAGCCTCCGCCCTGGCCGGCGGCCCCCTTCGCCTCAGCCGCGGCTTCACCCCCCGCCCCCCGAGTGGGCCGGTGACCGCGGGAGGGGCCGAGGGCGGAGGAGCTTCCCCGGGCGCGCCGCCCTCCCCTCGCCCCCGCGGGAGGCGTCCGGAGCGGGGCCGAGTGCCTGGGTGGGCGGGCGGGGTGGGTGGGAGTCCCGGTCCTAGCCCGCCGGGGCGGCTAATGGGCGCATCCGCCTCCCTGAGGCCTCCCCCCAAAAGATGCAGCCCATATTTCCCCAATAAAATGGATCCATTTTCTGCGCGTGGCGTCCTGGCCTATTTTACGGCATCCTATTAAAATGATAAGCAGCCCCGGGAAGGCAGGAGATGAAAGGGGGGGGACGGGGACGCGGCCGAGACTGCAAGCCCACCAGGGGCGCCGAAGGGGAAGGCGGCGCTGGGAGGGTCGGGGGCCGCCATGGGCTCCCACCCCCTGCCTCTGGGCCCCATTGCAGCCCACCACGCCCGAGGGTCCCCACTCTCTGAGCCGGGAAAGGCGCCTGGCGGGCGGCTGGGGCCTTGATCCAGGGACTCAGGTCCACCAGCCTTGGCACTGAGCCATGGAAGCTTCCAGTGGGAGCCCGGCCGAGGTCGGATCCTGCGGTTCTTCTGGGTGCACCCCGACTATCTGGGGCCCTGCTCTGTGGGTTGCGCCGGGCACAAGCCGAGGCCCAGCTGGGCTGCCCACTTCCCCAGCCCCCTGAGTCTGGAAATGGGCCCCCGGCCTGTTTAACTCCAGAATGAGGGATGCTGCCCCAAATTATACCCCACCCCCCACCCTCCCCAGACAGTCCCACCCACGGGGCCTCATCGTGCCCTCTGCTGATGCTTGGCCCAGGGAAGCGGCGGCAACCAATGGCTGGAGTCAACCTGGAGCGCTGCGGGACAAATGGCGGCCGGCTGTCCTGTGGCTCAGGCCTCGCCAGGCCCAAAGAGGAGGAGGCAGCCCTGCGGTGAAGGAGCCAGAGCACTGATGATGTTGCCCAGTTTGGTAAAGAAATGTTTGCAAGAAAACAACCAAACTCAGGTAGCACCAAGGACCCCACAGCTTTATTGGATCCAGAGCACCTGCAGCCCCACAGGAGCCACCTGCTTGGGCAGAACGCCCCCCCTCCCTCCCTTGACTGGGCGTCCCTAACTTCCCTCCCACCCACCCAGGGTCAAGAGCGGGAGGGGCTACAGACCAGGCGACCAGCCGCCTCCAGGTGGCAAT